GGCAGCTGCCATCCCTTGCAAAATGTCCGGATCTTCGCACCGAAAACACTTACCCGTGTTGTTGTGTGCGTGTTCCGTTGTACGAGTTCCATGTTTGCACAGCGTTCACGTTGGCGCTAGCTCCGTGGGTGTTACTCCCGCATTGTGGCCCGTGTTCTCCGGCGTCCATCTGTTCGTTTGTTTATCCGTTAGTTCGACTGTCACCGCGATTGTCCTCATGGTCATCCAGCTTTAGATCATGTCCTTGATCAACAGTTTGGCACGGATCTTGTGTGATCTGCATTTTCAATCACTTGGTCACGAATTTCCTCGTCTGCTTCTGGAAATTGCAGCGAACAGCTCGTTGCCGCAGCCGCACGATGAACTTCTCTATCGACTCGCCGTCCTCCTGCGCCATGCTCCTGAAGCAATACCGCTCATACGGCACGTTGATTTTCGGCTGAAAATGTTTGCTCGGTTTTCTTTGATTTCTCGTAGGCGTCTGACCCTCTTCTTCCTCCAAGGAAAAGAAGATATCCTGCACTTCTGTCCGGCACAGGTGTAGCAACAACGCTCGTTTCTGCTCGGCATTTTTCACCCCTCGTCCGACTGCATACAGCTCGAAGCTACGCAGCCATCGCTGCCACGCGATTCCCACATTGCTTGGGTCGCCGTGCGGGTTGAACCATTTGACTTGACTCACGTCACTGCTGCTGAGTTCCATGACTTTTCCACACGAATTAAATCGGAAAATCTCAGTCAAATGCGTCCAAAAGATTCTTCACGATTATCCTGAATTGTCCAGTATCCTCGTCGCCAATTGTAGTGTTATTGTGAAGCCGGATTGAACTCAAAAAAGTACGAATTGAATACCAAAATGATTTGTCTCCAGAGCGTTTTATTCCCGGTTCTCGACCATGCCGCTATCCCATAATGTCCCCTAGAGGTCAATCTAATTTGCATAGGCTCTCATTTGCATAGCACTGTAAACATTGCATGTAATGCATATACATGTATTATCGGGACACTACAGTTACTACTTTGTAAACATTTTGAGGCCAACGATAAGGAAAACGATTAATAAAGATGACTGAATGTTTGGAAAGCGCCCTCTGTAACTCACTCTGATTGCTCCACCGTCAGCATTGGTTAAACTCTGCCAGTCATCTAACTCAGCTGTGAGGCTGTGCTGGACTGAAAACGCCTGACATGACAACAGGTCACGCTGAGGTGTCCTTGCATGGTGAGCCCGGTAACCGTCGTGGGTTTACCCAGGTCAACCTGAATCCACTGATCTGCTGGAGTGCTTGGTACCCATCCTTGGGTTCCTGTGGGATGATATAATGGTTTTATTATTAGCGTTGGGAATGTTCCAATACGCAAATTAAAAAATAATGCCTACAATCAGAAGATGTACAATCAGCTACGATTTATCAAATTTACTCCAATAATACAGTCACTAGAAAGGTATGGCTGAAAAGGTGAATGTTATTCCGACGAACAGTTTCTATTCCTACTTTTGATTCTAAATATTTACTTTGTTGTTTACCAATGGAATTACAAATAATGTTAAACAAGGCATATGACAAAGTTTATGAAGCGAGTTTCATCAGTTTTGGGAAAGAGGGTAAGATTTTATTCGCCATACGAAAAAAATAAATACTCATTTTCACAATCTGCCACTTTCGACTTGGCGTCCTCCAATGTCAATACAGCACTGGAGGTGGTGGTGGAAGGGGCGTGCTGCGGCAGAAAGCTTCTAGAAATGCAAGATCACCCTTGATGTCACTGCACTCCTCCTCAATCGTTTGGAACAACAAACGACCGAGGAGGCGTGCAATGACATTAGGGATGATTCTGCATTCCTTCAGAAGCTTTCGGCCGCTGCACGCACCTTCCGCCACCGTTTCCTCCACTGTATCGACATTCCCAAAGTAAGTAGTTTTTCGTACGGCATTTAAATATTATCCTCTTGCACAAAACTGATATAACACTCAATATCATTGTTCATGCCCTCTTTACATGATCTGAAATGTTGGTTTAATTCCATTGGTAAACAACAGGTTATTTGGGATCAAATGAAGGACTTTTTTTAAAAAGAAGTACATTGTAATTTCCAAAATATCACGTTATAAATCTGCATTTCTGACCAATCACCGTTTGGGTGGTTTATATATAGAGCCTTGTCATACCGTTTGACCTAAACCTTTCATTAGTCATCAACATGAATTTGTATAGTTCCGCGATATTTTTCTCTCAAATGGCTTTTACTGCGAGACGCCGCACTTCTAGTGTAAATTGGGCCTCATATTGAAATTCTCACAAAACAATGAACTAAAGAACTATCCGGCAAATCCACTGAACGACAACTTTGGCCCATTAATTGTATGGCTTTGGTAATTACCGAGTTCTATGGTCACCATTCGGTGCCTACAGAATGACTTCATTCATGTGTATGTGTAATAACGAACTGTGCATCAATAATGTAAGCAAATAGTCCAAAAGAAGCCATATAAAACCATACTTTTCTTAACAACTCATGTTTGCGATTATGTCTTGGCAAAAATGTTTTGGTAGAGTCTTTGTTGTTGTTAAGCAGCGCCATGAAATTGGGCCCTAATGACACAGCACTACTAAGTTACGCAAGGAAGCATAAGCAGAAAAACAAATGACTTCATTTATCATTATATCATGAGGCAACTAGGACAACATAAATATGGAAATATCACCGTTAAAAGTTTACCATAACATAAATGCCCATTACTTATATAGGATCGTTGATTTTTTATAGAAAGGATGCGATACCTACCTACATTAAGTCGAGCGGTGCTTGGGAGATAGCTACTACTATGGACGGACGATGCCGTTATGCTGTTGTCCGGGATGTTTCTATTTTCCATCCCCAACGCCCTTGGAGTGCACCGTGCTAGTGAAATGATAAAGAATAATTCACAAATTCAACAGGTTATAGTGAGGTACCTTAGTGACAAAAATGCCAAGGATCGGTACACGGTGGACAAAAGCACAATTTTTTCACCAAAGCACAATTTTTTCACCAAAGCATCTCCATGGTATACCTTTTCGAAAAAAAAGACGGACGCAAAAAATTGGATGATGGGAAGGGCAATATATGACGTCATTATGACTTATCAGCTTATTAATTATTAATGAAATAAATATAAATTGATAATATCTTCAGAACTACCAACATCACAACAACAAATGTGGCATCAAATGAAAGGGAACAACAAGATCTTTCATTTGAGTGGTATGTCAGTGGGATGGAATGTAGTAAAGGGTGGTTTTGGGGGCAAAAAAACCCTTTTTGGGTCAAAAACCTCATTTACATGAGAGAATAAAAGTGTCCCCTCGAGCTAAAAAAATGGCCTCAAAGTATCTTACTATTTCTTAGAAGTAACCATTTCCCAATAGATGATTTTGATATAAACGACGAATATGAAAACCAAGCCCCAAAATGAATACAATACGCTCTGAAAATGGGCACATAATGCATAGTTCACAGGTTCCAGCCCCCCCCCTCCCCCATTTGATTTTACGGAGGCCAATGTCCGGTGAAAAACACGTGTCGACCTTTCAGCTCGGATGTGCAAAAAAAGCAATGCTGAGCAAGTGCCCCTTTCGGTGATGCCCCCCCCCCCCCCTAGTTTCAAACCCGTTCCGCTGCCGCTGCCTGAAGGACCGGCTCCCAACGCAGTTTAATACCTTCGACGACTTAGACGCCTCAAGCCAGATACTCTGTCCCACATAAATCCGCCACGTAGGTACAGCTTTCATGTCAAACCAAAACCGCAGGCCGAGCTGAAAAAGATGGAGAAAGGCTGGGTCATACGAAAAGTCTCCCATCACACGGACGGGTGCAGCTCAATCACAGCAACTGCCAAAAAGACGGCCCATTCAGGGTGTGTCCGGATCCCAAGCAGCTAAACACATAATGTTTTCTACAGATCCCCACTCTTGAGTAGCTCAAGCCAGACTTTGCGCTGGAAAGGTTCTTCTCCAAGCTAGACGTCAAAAGCAGGGTATTGGTCTGCTCATCTAGAGCAGTCTGAAGAGCTGACAACATACAATTTGGTTGTAACAGCTTTCGTCGCCCACTCATCGGCTTACCAGTAAGCCAAGACAATAGTTCCAAAAATATTGATGGCGAAATAAGCTAGATGCCTTGATGCGTTGGAACAATCACCGCAACGACATTGCAGTATTCGGTGTCCCTTGGAGAGCATGACGAGCACCGAACGCCTCATCGCCCTGATGGAAACCGCTGGTTCCTTTAAAGTCAACATTGTCTCACACTACACCCTACATTGCGTAGACAAAGTTGCTCCCTTCTGTGATCTTCTTCGAAAAGATGTACCATTTCTCTGGCAAGAGGACCATCAAACTTCTTTTATAACCCTGAAACATCCATCTCAACTCAGTCCTGGCTACGATTCTCCGACCCACTGGTATAAAAAAACCTTCCTCAAAGTAGATACATCTGAAAGAGGATTGGGCATCAGCCATGAAGGTAAACCGATCGCATTTTCCTTAAAGAGCCTATAGACCCTCTGCCAAGAGCATATTCTCGAATATCGAGAGGAAGCTGTGTCACTGCTGCAACTTCATTCGGCTGCAACTTCATTGTCGTCACTGACCATTAAAACCATTGGTTACGATCTGGCGCAAAATCCTAGCCAGTGCACCACCCCGCTTGCAGCGTTTTATTAAGCTACAAGGATGCGACTTCGACGATGTCTACAAACCTGGTGCTATGATGGTGATCGCAGATACACTCGGCAGACTGCCCAACCCCTTCAAGCTCCACATCGTAACACGTGATTAACCTATAACTGAAATACACTCGGATGGGCACCCGACTGTAACTTATATTACGTTTTTTTGTCCGCCTATCTTTGGAATAAGTTTCAACATTTAAGATACCGATAATCAATTACGAAAACTCTTGGCATAGTATTTGAACCATTCTCTCTGACCTAAGAACAAAAACTCACAATACCACTCACGGTTTGCATGTTAAAACAAGGTGCCAAAATGATTACCCCAATCCATGATTTTAGCACCATTTTCTTTTACCAAAATAGGGCTTTTTGGCCAAAAAACACCCTGTACTACATTCCATCCCACTGACATACCACTCAAATGAAAAATCTTGTTGTTCCCTTTCATTTGATGCCACATTTGTTGTTGTGATGTTTGTAGTTCTAAAGATATTATCAATTCATATTTATTTCATGTAATAATTAGCTGATGACGTCATAATGACGTCATATATTGCCCTTCCCATCATTCAATTTTTTGCGTCCGTCTTTTTTTTCTCGAAAAGGTATACCATGGAGATGCTTTGGTGAACAAATGGTGCTTTTGTCCACCGTGTCAGATTTTTTCAGTAAAGGTACCTCACTATAAAATGAAGACTTAATGCAGGCCCGGATTAAGTGTTTTGTAAGCCCAGCACCAGTGTTCCGTAGGCCCTATTCCGCCCAAGCCACCGACCCCTATTCAGCGTACAAAGCACTGTACAAATCAAGCCATGCCAAACTGATATAGGTCCTAGCTGTAAAAGCCTGCTCGCACCAAGGGCATCAAACTCACAAGTGGGGAGGGGGATGTTCATGCAAACATGTGTATCCTGATGAGAACTAATTAGCGTGCGAAGCTTAAACAGCGTGGGGTTAAAATGATTCTAGAGGTTCTCAATGTGAC